CACTCCGTAAACACCATCCTCGCAAAAGCCAAACTTTCTCGGCAACTTGTATGAAGTTGACCTTCCTCGGCACTGCGTCCCTCACGACTACAACAAATATCCTGTTTTAAGTTCTTTTCACACGTCATTCCCGTTTGCTGATCATTTTAACCTATATATATACATGTATTTATTTCAAAAACAATCAATCATCTCTGTTTGACTTCTTTAGAAAGCGCTTTCGGGCAGATGTTGCACATAATGCGACAACTTTCAACTGATACGGCCAAAGTAAAACAGGTAGGTTTTCATTGTTAGTCTTTTTCCGCCTTCTGCGTCGCTAGCAAATCATATTGTGGGTAGATTAAATGAGGTAGCATAATGATGTAGTTTTTTTTGTTTTAAGTGGTACAGATATGCCTGCGTTCTAGCTATGGCTTAATTCTCAATTATGTTGCTGAATACTTGATTTGGTAAACTGATTACCACAGCTTCGAGAAAATAATCGAGAACAAAAGCCAGCGTGTATACTTCATGATCTTAAAGCAAGTGGAGTCTTAATCTTTCAATTGCGCATTTTTACAGGATGAATGGGCAGAAAAATACTGGCAATAAGCGTGCTCAGCTCCGATTTCTAAAGCTAAAGTTCAGATATAAAAGCCAAATATGATTCGACTACCTTCTCTAAAACGTTGCAATGCATAAACATAGGCTTTAGACAGTTCATATGAATTGCTTCGCCAAGATCTTTCAAACTTTTGTGCGACCGCGTCCGGAGTTTGTTATCCAAGCATGGAGACCCTGGACTGCTAGAGACCTCGGCATACTCGAAAAAGTTCAGCGGCGAGCAACGAAACTTTTATCTGGGCAGTGGTCACTACCCCACGAAATACGATTAGCTAATCTTAACCTCTTTCCTCTGAGTTACAGACAGCTACGTGGGGACCTGATACAAGCTTTCCGCATCGTGCGCAATCAGGGCTGCTGCCTCGCATCTGGAGACTTCTTCGAGTTGGCGACTACGACTAAACTGAGAGGCCATCTACTCAAACTACGTGTGACTGGTGCTCGGCTGGACACGAAAGTTCTTCTTCTCCGACAGACTGGTCGCAGCTTGGAATGCCTTGACTGAGGACTTAGTTATGTCGGGATCCGTAGATACTTTTAAACGGAGGATAGATCAACATTGGAGCGCGAATCACTATACCGCCGGTATACCGCCAACTTGATAGCCGACATTGACAATTTAGTGTTATGACGATGCTACTATCAACACTTAAGTAACATGTGTTTATGTAATTTATTGTCCTTGGACCACGTCGCACACCACTACTCGCATTCACCACGATGCCTGCAGACTGAAAAATTTTACTTCTTTTCCTGTATCCTAAGTGTGCTTCAACAGTCTGCTGCATTTAATCAACAAACCGAGCTCCTGTGCCTCTGAATTTTTGTTAACGCACGACATTCTGTGTCTGTCTGTACAGTTTTTGTTATTCCCCTTGTACTTATTTCATGTTGCTTCCTTTTCATTTTCTCCGTATACTTCCTCTGCATGTAACCAAAAGGGATTTCAAAGGTACACACTTACTTTCCCAGAAATATACTGATACTGATACTACCCTGTCAACCCTCATTTATTGAAGATGATAAATATGTGTGTCAGCGGCTTCAGGAGACGCTGATGCTGTACATTGTTGGATGCTTTCTTAAAATAGACGTAGACTGCGTGCACTGCATTGCCGCCATCGACTGCCCGCGTCTAGCGTTCTCAACAATAAGGTAGGTTTGTCACACATGATCCGCCTTTACGAATTCCGTGCCGGACGTCGCATAGCGAATTAAGCTATGCTAATTATTTTTTCCATAATTTTGCAACAAACTCATATAAGGCTGGTTGTTTTTTAGTTGTTTGCCAAGACCTTGCAGCCGACTTTATAAATTGGCGTGATCCGGGAATATTTCCGATCGGTGAGCAAATAGACTGTCAACAGTTCTTTGCCAACAATAGCTTCCGTGAAAGAGACAACTTAAAGCGTTGGCCCGTCCATTAAGTTGCAGTCAGAAGAAATAAATGCGCTTCCATTCTTAAAGGTGGACTGAAAAATTGCGAAAGGTGTTCTGCTTTTTCTCTGTCTTCATTGAGCTCTAGACCTGCATTATTTTTTCAATAATGAGATTGGATCTCTGTTTCCCGAGCTCTTTCACGTTTGTTCGGCGACGTGTGGTGGATCGGAAGAAGTCAGTTGACGTCTACTCGGGTTTATTTTTACTCGGTTTCTGTTAAAAGACGTGATTAAATCTAAATGAAATGCCAGACGAACCGAGCACCTCGCCGTAAAATTCAACTAGTCCAAAGTGTCAGAGGGACCTTTTAACCTGTTAAAGCACATTACGCTTCAGAACACCCACCGCCTTGTCCATTTCCGCAAATGAGCTCGTCATTACCATACAATCAGTCAGCATACGCAACAACAACTTATGTGGCCAACAGAAATAGATGCGCAGCCAGCAAAAGAGTTTAAAAGAGTAAACTATGGAAAACCTGCACAACTTCGGCGAATACGCATAAATGAGTGGAGTATCGCGAGGAGCTTTCACGATGTCGCTCCTCTCCCAGTTTCCTTCGACGTTGATAATCCAATAATTTTGTTTGGCTCTCAACCCTAAGTATTTCCCTATACATTACGACCGATGGTTGCATGAACGAGCAACAGAAGAATGGGCGACATTGAGATAGCTGTAGAAGCAGTTCTGGATTCCTAAATGACGAATCGGGATGGAGCAGGCTGGGAGGCCACGAAAAAGCCAGAATGCAAACCTGGTTGGTGGCATGAGCAGACTAAAGGGTTGACGATATGCGCCAATCCTGAAAGTCGGATGTTTATGGTAAGTTAGGAATATTTTTTTTCTAACGGAAAGTCAACCCTTTTATCAGAACAAGGGGTAAAGTAGCTGATGTGGTCGCCAGCAAGGGGGAACCAGACAACCATGGCGTGTGAGGGTAGGGAAGCCGGAAGTTATGTACGAGAACGACACCGTAGGTTATGCATGACTTACCCAAGTACTCATCCCTGCATAGTTCGAAAGATACACGGGATCTGGATTTTCTATTTGTGAGTCACAGCATAGATGGATTAGACTGAGCTGAAGGCATAGGTCGCGGGCAGAAATACGGCGACCAGTGGTTCCCAGGCAAGACCTCACACAGTAGTCGTCCAAACGAAAACACCGCCGCTATCTCTTAGTGCATATCAATCAGTGTCAATTAGCATATATGGAATAAATGACAGAAGTCCCTTAAAACCCTGTTTAAACGACAGTGGTCTGCTTGAAAAGCGGTTGAGGTGCAAACTATTTACGGATACTTCAAGTGCGCAAAATGCACCGGACAGAGAGTAAAACAGGAGTGTACAAATAGTGAGTCATTTGCGAAGGAAAAGTGAACAAGACATACGACAACGTACGACATTTCGACCGTAGTGATCAAAGATTTTCATCGTATGTTATACAGCAAGGTGAGGACAGGGACGGTGAATTGCGCGTGAATTGTCTTATAGTAATATAAGACTCGTACTGAATCAACCGTACTCTCCTCCTCCCCCATCTGGGTACGGTGCCATTACAGGAAAGGCCACAGGTGGCTGGCGCGGTAAAAACCCGCATCTAGACACACCACTACACCTTCTGGTTCAAAACAAACGCTTGGCCAGGATCTTAGAGAAGAACGAAATCGGTGGACGACGCGGAACCTAGTTGGCACAACATCAGCCGGCAACTGGACATGCCATCGGACTCCCATCTAGTCCGCGTGCTGGTCCTGCGCATTTACCGTACGACCCGTCTTGGCGAACAAAGAACAAAGCATTCACTAGATCTCCACGTAGTATATTCAGCAATGTCAACCATCCTGAAGACAAAATGTGTTGCTGAAATAAAGCTGGTAGTCTTTTTATATTTGTAATGGTGATAATTGCGGTCCCATCTTTACTATTCCCATGAAATTAGGAAGCCGATTAGCATATGTAGTTGACCGGCATTAGTAGACATGACGTGGAAGGTAGCATCAGCAGGTGGATTGCTTTGCTTTAGAGCAGCAGTTCTGAAGTCCGGTCAGGCCAGTAATTATTGCCGCGGGGCACGTAGCATAGTGTCTGAAATGGCGCTATTGTCATCTTTACATACAAAGTTCATAGTGTACGTTCAAATTGATGAAGCAGAGCATGCCAAGCCCAGAACCCGGGTGGACGCCACTTAGATAGGCTGCCCCTGTCAGAAAGAGGTGCGACTACCAATTATACGGGCTGTGTTCATCCTCATATCTATACTCATCGCCGTGATCAGATGTTTTTTAATGTGCAACCACCAAGCGAAGCTAATGTCGAAACGCTTGTGGACTTAACTGTCAGAGACGTGTCCAGTGAAGTTAGATAAACGCTTCAATCGGCCTAACAGCAGCTTTGCTATTCCCACCGCAGGTACTAAAGTCAGACTACCGTGTGATGTTCACAGAGACCTCCCTGAGCATACAGTTACCGCAGAGTACCAAGACGTTTGTCGAATGCACATTTGCGGCAGACGACCCACCCTTTCCTCACCTTGTCCTGACAAAACTCTTCAAGGTTGCATTGCTTAACCCGGTGAGACCACACCAACGATCATACCAGGTATGGACTCCTTCTATAACGACAATCTAATCTCGGAAGTGGAACGCAGAAACCTAATGCGCATGCCTGGGAAAACATTTAAAAATCCGAGCTTTGATTTATATGGCTAAGACGACTTGTCATATACCATAGTCTTGCCTCTCGCTACCTCCTCCGTTATTCGACATGGGGCTCCCTTGGGCATGTACACAGATTTCATTATGAGATGTCAACCACGAGGGGCTTTGCTTATAAATGGTTAGGATGGCTTGTAAGACAGGACCAAGAAGGCAGAAACTTGCTTTGCAGGAGATGAGATTTCACGCAAAAGTTCAGTAAAGTACACGTAAAAGAACATAGTCGAAGCACGCAAAATTATCTGGTGAGGAGATCATAACCATCGTCTGTTATCAAAACCATTTCTTCAAACTGCGCAGTCAGAGCACGGTCAGATGTGCGTACAGACCAGCCATCCGGCTGAGTGAAGGGAAGTGCAACATAACTCTCAACTGCACCTTCCTCAGACGACGCTGATGGGGCTGCTACACAGGGCTCAATTGTAAAGACGTGACCTGGACACATGACACCATAGTCATCTGATCTCTCTTCATAGATACAGTGGCAGATGTCCGGAGGGCCATGGAAGTAGGTTCCGATTCCATGACCGTTAATGCCGGCCACAACACGGAAATTGCCACAATTGAGAGCTGCTTGGGTAACGGCCTCAGCAATACAATGATAAGGGACGCCTGGACCACAGACAGAGACTCCAGCTTGGCAGCACTTTTGGGCACAAGACAGGAGATCGCTAATTCCCGTCGGAGTCGTGCGCAGCCGAGATTCGCTCGGAACAAGGAACGTGACGCAAGCGTCGCCATGAACCTGACCATCGTAAAGAGAGACATCCACCGAAATCAAGTCATCCGCACGTAAAATACAATCTTTTGAAGGTAGACCGTGAATGGCTACTTCGTTCACGGAAGTGCATACCGTGCTACAATAAGCAAGAGGGAGATGTGAAGATAAATGAATGGTAAGAGTCCAAGCTCTACAAATGAAGACCTGAACAGGGAGTATCAAAACGTGCAGCAGCGTAGATATCATCCGTTAAATATGAGAAATTACCTTAACAAACGATTTTGAAAACAGCGTTCTCGAATGAAAATTTCGTACTCAATATTGAGTATAAAGACAGTAACTGACTGTAGGAGGTGGTATGGTTAATAGTCATTTCAAATTCGCAGATTCGGCAACCAGGAAGTTACTTTGGATGTCCACTGCTAACGGATGGTGTAGTTACTACCTTATACGTAGTTTCCTGATGGCGCTAGCTAGCCTTATTTGCCTACAGTGACTCAACGAAATTGAATTCTACTGAAAGAGTTTGGAAAAGAGGATTCAGGTAGTGTTTGCGTTGTATAATGTGAGTTTATATTTCAGAACAGTGTAATGTGCGTAACGGACAGCAGTGACAAGAACGCGTCCTACTGAGTTAGGAAGACATTTGTGTATGGAATGTGGAGGCTCTGAGGTCGATATGTTACGGTAGTCAAACGGGGAATACATCCCCAAAAGAACTCTTGGGACTTAGTATAACAGAACCATAATGACTATATTTCAGCCATAACTGAGAAAGGATCGCATAAAGAAAATGTGAAAGGAGCCTTCACTTTTCTAAGCGCCTGACAAAACGCTATGAAAGATGAATGCCTTAAAGGCAACGTACACCTGCAAACAATTATCGTTATTCCAACCAAGTTGCGTGACAGACCCTAGGCACTGAAAACGGTTAAGGCCTCGCAGCAAAACTTCGGCAGGAATCAACCTGTGGATATAAGGTGAATTTAATGACCATGTATATCCGACGAAGCAACAAAGGGTTAGCATATTTGGTGCTTCCGTCAAACTCTTAAAAGGTTTACTGTACAGCTTAAAATGGGTTTGTGTGACCTGAAACGGCAAACCAGACTCCTTGTGCTATCGACCTGGTCCTCAGTTAAGTACAGTGTCTGAGCTTGTTTCGGCACTGTTAGCCTTGCTGACTTCAGGGTTTACGACACCACGGACAGGGGCAGCCCATGCTCTGCCACCAACAGCTAGGCCCTCAAAATGTCCATTTCTTGACGAAAACCGCCGAAATCTAGTACTCTTGGCGGGTCCGACGTAATTACATCTGTTCAACTTTAGACAGTCAGCACAGAAAACAGATGTAGCATCTCGAACGAGCCCGCCTTTTAACCAACGGACTGTGCAATCGAAACATATGAGACGGTGACCCATCAAGGTTTTATCAACCGGTGAAAACGAAAGGTGTTGGCTTTTTAATTTCAAGGTGAGGCCCGTCAGCTAAAGCAACAGCATTACCCGAAGAAGAAAGGTCTTAATTATCTCGGAGGGAAATGTAGGAAGCCAAGATGACCAGATCTGTGTGCTATCCCCGAGACTAATCAATTAAGCGTCCACAGATGGCGGATGAAAGAAGGGACCTCTGCTAATAACTGCATGGTAATAAGCAAGGTCTTGCGCCTGACGAAGCAGGCTCAGGAGAGTAAATGCATGCAGATTTGTTCGGCACCGACGTAATAGAGCGCTTAAAGAGCAAAATTTGTTCACTAGTCGATGAGGATTTCCTCATCTCCTTCCTTTTGTTTTCCCCTAATTGGGCGGGGGAGCTGTGCTTACGCTTCCATCATATTCCCACGAAATCCCCGTAAACGTTGGAGACTTCGATCTAACCGTTACCACCTGTAGTAAGAGGCTATGTACTCATTTAAAATTTCATAATTACTCAATTAGCGTTGAATTTTAAAACTTAACAACTGACATGTAGCAAAAAGGTGGGAAGAGCGAACTAAATCGCCAAAAACGATTCTCCAAAATTAAATTTACATTTCAATAGGTCGGTAGATAAAACTGGTCGGTCATCAGAATTCAAATCTTCAGGAATGCATGAGATGCTCGCAGAGATGAGAATTGTGTAAATTTGTAGGCAAAAAACTCGCCTGAGCTCAAGATGAGAACTAACCTAGGGAAACCCTTATAACCTAAAGGGGAGGGGTACAAGGAGTGCTTTAGACAGAAATCAACAACGAAACTTTCAATTTCCGCTGTACTTGTTCCAGGTAAAATTATTGATGCGAGAGAATCTAGAAGCGTTCTAACCCGCTTGCCAATAGAACGCATCTGAGCGATTTTGCGCGGCCCATGTACCTCCGGAACCGATGGGACACTCTCCTGGCCCTCTAAGACGTAGGATGGAGGAATTATTCCATTAGATGCAAAAGATTGACCGAGAAACGTGAGTATTTACGGAAGACGCCGGAAAAACTTGACGTGCTGCAGCGAAACAGCCGGCGCGCTAACATGACCACCTTTTTAAGTCTCGACACAATGTTCAAGGTAAAGGACACTGTCAGTTGGTAAGTAAAAATCAGTTCAGATAATTGGTCAGATATTTCAATTTATCAAAAAATTTCATTCACGATTTATTGCAGCATAAAGTTAGAATAAAGTGTCCTGTAAGTCTGGAAATCCATACCAAGCGCTGAAGTACAAGGCGGAAGGCGCAGACGAAGTATTCTGTGTCCATAGGCTCACACATAAACATCAGTCGCCAAAACGCCAAAGTCAGTCTCTACTCGATGATTTACGAACTAGGCGGGCATTTGTGAGTTCAAAAAAGAATGTTCTGACGTCTACGATAGCGGCTGCTTATAGCCAAGGTAGACTAACAAGGCAATTGTAGAAGTGTATGGGATACAAATGTGAGCATGCAAAACTAGAGAAAATCTCGCAGCTAGACTCGCCGCGGGGTCCTTGTTAAATTCTTTTCGGATTTATTCATGCATACCAGGTAATGTGCCGACCCATTAGGTTAAAATAGGACTACCGATGAAGTAAAAAGGCTTTTTCAATGAGACCATTATGTCTGACCGGATCGGCAAACCAATGATGCTATTTCACTCATCTTCAGTTCTAGCACATGCACTGTTGTCGGTATAAAACTAGGAAATACTTTTCGTTGTTCTTTACCCTAGACAATCAGTTTTTTTTAATCTCATATCAACTGTTTGCTCACATTTGCTTTGACAAAATATCTAAGTCCTACCAAGTGAAGTTTTTATAAGACTGACCAGCACATACGCGCACATAGTATAATATATTTTTCAATGAACTTTATTTATGCTGTCCAACGCTTGTTTGGATCCAAGATATTTACCAAGAATAATCTGACTGTAGTTATTGATTACTCTCACGTCACGAGCAATCTGCAAAGGATTTCGCCGCAGAGGTGGAGTTAACAGATATATATTCGAAACCAATTACATCACACGCGTTTATCCTGTGGCTTCAAATTGAGTCACCTCGTCTAGCAAACTCCATCAAGGTCTGTATAATTTGCCGTATCAAAATTATATCATAATCAATCGAAAAACACATCTGTAGCGCTGAAATAATGACGAAGATGAGGTAAGTAATTTGCCTTTGAGCATTCTTAATACGATGCATCTAAACCAGCCTTGGAGCTTTAGGTCAAGCGTTTCCAGTCTTTCGTTATGTTTCAGGTATCAACTTCTACCCTCGTTTCTATAAGCCCGTCCAATAGTATGACGCCAGTTCTGTGCAGAATAGAAGACAGACATGATACCAGAGAACAGCTTTACTGCGTCAGTCACCCTGTGTACATCAACCCTCCCTCCTTCCGTCCGCGGCTTCGTATTTAAGGGTTCAACCTTCGTCTGGTTTGCGTGTTCCTACTTGTCCAGCCCTGATCGCCCGCATGGGCAGGCCCTCGCGCGTTATTGGTCCCTGGAGGTTGCGCGTGACTCAGCGGCGTGCGCATGTCTGGCTCGCATGTGGGCTTCCTAAGCGAGACTGTTCTGCAGGTTTACGGTTCTTTGTCAGGCGTGACCTCCGGATGACAGGAACGGTGCGTCATGTTCTGGGCCGTCCTAACACTCACTGACGTCTATGTCCCCACACTAAGTCTCCCTAAAATCATGTTGATAGGCATACTAGATCGTTCCACCAAATTTTACTCCCCGCACCACCCGTCATCACTTTTTGTCCATTAAACAAAACTTTGTCTCTCTGAAAGTTATACCAAACGCAGCCAAGGTGGCGGACGTCACACAATCAGGCCATTAAAAGAATCATTAAGGAATGGCAACAAGGCCGCCAGGAGACAATAATTTCATTTTAGCGATATGGACGCACTGGTTTATATGGTTACTAAATAACGAACACAGGTATTTGTTCATGCATCCAGTCACGGACTAATAGTAGTTGGTTTAAATATAGGCCGTCTTTACTGAATTAGTTCCGTTAACCTGGAGGCATAGAAGCAGAGCGATCGGCATTTTATTCTGCAAAAAGTGTTGTTCCGTTTCAATTCCACGGTATCAACTTTTGCGGCTTTGCAAAAATGCACCTTTCCTGGCAGAAGCTAACTAGGTAAAGTCAAAAACATATAAAGACACGAAATAATTAATCCTAGTATAAACGAATATTTACTGTTTTTTGTCAATATTCTAGCCCGTATATTGGCATTCAGCAGATTGCCAATCGAAGAGGTTAAGTGTACAAGAGATTGAAAAGGGGTTAAAAATGATTTCCTTTCGAGTTATATTTCAATTTATCGACAAACCCTTCCTCATTTAACGCAAATGAAAATGATAATAAAACAGAGAGATTGGGTATGTTCGAGAAATGCAATAAGTTGGACGAAATCTGAACCTGTGGTTATAGTGGGCTATCATCGACCACTTGCATTCCGAAATACGTGAAATTTATTTTCTTTAAAACTGAGCGGCAAGTTGTAGAAATGTCTACACACTCGCACTTAATACAGACAAGCAGCCGAAAAATCAATATATAACGGGGAAAATTGGCGAAATGGTACACAACAACGAAGAGTTAAAAGCAACTATTCTCAGCACCAAGCCGAATATGGCATACAAACATGGCATACATGGCGCGCACAGAATAAAACTTGCCTTGAAAGAGTACAACGTCGTGCGGCAAAACTGGTGATCCGATCATGGTCTACAAAATAGTACATGGCCAAGAGCATGGACATACATTTGGGGACATTTTTAGTGGCACCTTTTACTCAATCTTCGTGGTCACTCGTTTAAGCCACGGAACAAATTGTCCAGCCTGAATCTTCGTTCTGAATTTTTCGTGCAAAAAGTAGTAGATAAATAGAATGATCTCCGTCAGCAAGTTGTGGGAGCGTCGTCCATTAAACCCTTCAAAAAACGCTTGAATGATTTTCTTTGCCCTTATTTCCCTCAACAGTCTTAACCTGAGCTAAATACCTTGTGATCCCCAGCATCTTTTTTATGTGAAACAATTCTACTAAAGTGAATCACGTACTGTTTTAATAGCGAATATTTTCATTCTTCGTGTACAGTTTTATCTAACGAACTGATATGTAATAAAAAGGGTTTTCAAAGGCCTTGCCTAACATACTTACCGAATAAAATGAAATTGAATTCAGCTATGTCGGTTAACCTAGAATGCAGAAAGGAAAACTTAAAGCGAACCTATCTACTCTTGTCTCACTCTCTGTCTATCAGAATGCATCGCAAATCTAGTCAATGATGGAAGACGTTGGATAGATGTTTGAACGGCCCAGAAGATGACGCACCGTTTTTGTCGCCCAGAGGCCACGCCTGACAGAGAAACGCAAACACGCAGGGAAGTATCGCCTTGCAGGCCCGCGAATGAGCTAGATATTAGCACGCCGAAGAGGGACGCACGACCTTTGGGCGAGGGTTTAC